TCAAGATGTTGAACCAGTTGCCTTCTGCAGAGAACTGCAATAGGCTCAAACTCCTTCAGAGGATGCAGCTGAGTTAGGGCATGGGAGTCCCGGCCTCCCAAAGAGGGCGGGAATCAGCAACTCCCGACTGCCAGTCCTCGCTGATTTTAAGCACATGAGGAGTCCAGAGCCTGTGTTCCTCTGAAGCATGATGTATTTAATTCACTGTTTGGTAGCATCTTGTTTCAGAGAGGCACAGGGACTTGCTACCTCCTGTTGAAGTCCAAGCCGTTCCCTCAAGTTGATGTTGTGGTGGTTAGCACTATAGCCACTGTAGTGCTATAGGTGGGTTGACCCTGGCTGGCAACTAAGTGCCTGCCCAGGCTCTTGCTCACTTTCCCTCAGTGGTAAAGACAGTTTAATGAGTGAAGAAAAAAAAAAAAAAAAAAACCAAAAAACCCCCACAGAGCCTGTGTTCCTCTGAAGCATGATGTATTTAATTCACTGTTTGGTAGCATCTTGTTTCAGAGAGGCACAGGGACTTGCTACCTCCTGTTGAAGTCCAAGCCGTTCCCTCAAGTTGATGTTGTGGTGGTTAGCACTATAGCCACTGTAGTGCTATAGGTGGGTTGACCCTGGCTGGCAACTAAGTGCCTGCCCAGGCTCTTGCTCACTTTCCCTCAGTGGTAAAGACAGTTTAATGAGTGAAGAAAAAAAAAAAAAAAAACAACCAAAAAACCCCCACCAAAACAAAACACAACCCCCACAAAAAAAAAATCAAGTGATGCAAATGCATCACCCAGTACAGCAATTTAGCATCAGATGCTGTGGCTGCAGGAACTGATAAGATTTTACTGCCCCTTGCCTCTCCTAACTGTTGGCAAAGAGAATTTCCCTCTCCAGAGGCCCCCCCAGTGACTGTGTTTCCTCACCCAGGGGCTGTGCTCAGGCTTGCACAGGCCACAGGAGTTTTACTCCTAGAGGTTGCTCCTGTTAAGCAATTGTAGCCACAGCTCCCTCGGTTGTTTGTTGAACAAGGAGACACTGTGGTTATAAGAAGATCACAACTATCAGCCCTGGTTTACGATTTTTATGAGCGTTAATGGAACAAGGTTTGGGGACTGAAGGAGAAAATGGAATATGAAAAGGAAAATGAAAAGAGGCTGTGAGGAAAGCATGTCATTTCTAAATGAATGCTCTGTGCAGAGGAATTGAATCTTTTCACAGCTGAAAATGGATCTTAAATCTGATGCCTTAGCTTGTTTCAGCTTCTGTAATGAAATAGAGTTTTCCTAATACCCTGTGACCTGAATTTCTCCCTTCTTTATGGGTGCTATTCCTTGACGTACAAACCTGTATTTTCTCAAGTCAGCATTTGATGATGGATGTCAAAATACAGGTCATGTATTATGCATATAGCATTACCGATTTAAGGTGTTTACTTGTCAAGTTGAAGAAATTCAGAAATGTCACATTCACTGAATCTGCACAGCTGTCACTTGTAGTTTTTCATGCCTTTAAATGAAAGTTCTGATAAAGCAGGTTAGTTTTCCTGCACTTTTTTTTTCCCCCTCTCTCTTCTGGAGGAATAAAATAGAGAGCCTATCTACAGAATTTACATTGTGACTTGGGAGCAGGAATGTGGCCTGAAGGTGTACGATACCTTGTGACTCCAAACACAGGCACACAAAATCCCCAAGCACTCCGATTTTCCTTTCCTGAAAATATTCCAAGATTTGTTATATTTTTAAAAAGTGGATTTTTGGAAGTGTCTGAATTAAGCACAAAGAAATTAACATAGCAGATACTTCTCATATCTTTCAAGTCCATAGGACAAAAAATATTGAGGCATGAGTCTATTTTTCATTCAAGGAGAAAACAAAATCCCTTTTACATGCTTCCTGCATTTCAGAGTGAGTGCACTATGTGTGCAGTGTGCAATTACAGAGCTCCTGCCAGTCTGTGTCTAACAGAAATGACACATTTACTTCAATCTTCTAACACCATCCTAGGAAGACAAATATTTGAAGGGTTAGAGAGGTGGCTACAAATGGCCTTTGATGGAGAGTGTGCATGTTCGTGCCTCTGTGTGTGTGTGCACTTTGCAGTAGAGAGAGGGCAAGCAGCACTTACACATTTAGATGCAGTTATGCCAACTTTCTTCTATTTACTTTTAGCTGGTAGGGAAATACTGATCTACTCATATCATCTGAAGAGCCTGATTCACTGAAAGAGGTTTTAGGGAGTGCATCCTGAGATGGGGAGAGAAAAGCCTTCAGGAAAAGGGGGGAACCAAGGCCTCTGGGGATGCTCCCAACAGTATAACCCCAGGGACACATGGGAACAAGATTAGTTGTCTCTGCTCTCGGATAAGCAAGTGTAAAAAGTCTTTCTGTTTCCATTTTGACTTGTTGTGCAGAGGACCCAGTTGTTCCTGCCACTTTAACTGCTCAAGGAGTCTACAGCTACTTGAGTTTTTTTTTTAATGTAGTGTGACTAAAGCCATGTCTTGCCTTTCCTGTAGCTTAACAGAATTAAAAACTTAAACACTGGAGCCTGCTGCAGAAGGAGGTGCCACACTAATTCTCACCTCTCCTCAGATAGCATTCCCTCCCTATGGAGTCCCACTTCAATTTTCCTGGTGTTGTGAGAGTGCCAGGGTTACCTCTAGCTCACGAGGTGGTGCCTGAAGGAACTCCATTACACTCTCCTTGCGATTCTGAGAAATCCTAAGCTCTGCCATGCAGTAGTAAGCATTCAAGAGCCAACATGGCTATCAGTCACAGTGCCAGACACAAGGAAACATCTGCAAATCGATACCAGTTGGGAATGCAGCTCACTGTCACCATGCTGGTCTTATTGAATTAGTTTCAGCACAACGAGTAGTATTAGATGACCGTTGCCATTGCCAACATTTCCAATTGTCTCTAAGAAATCTGCTTTCTAAAGATTTTGTATGCACTGGTAATATGAAATAGAATTGCTCTGCTGTCTTAGGCTTGCCTATGGCAATGTTTTTGTCTTGCAAGTCTGTTGAAGATACTGCATCCAATTCTTTTCTCCTAAGGAATTTCTTCACAGACTTTTCACTTCTGTTTTACTTATCCTGTCCTTACAATCCTCATGTTGTATCTAACTTTCATGTGTTAGTCTGAAGGAAATTCCTACTGGTACTTTCTGGAGAGCTAAATAAGTCTTTTCTCAGTGATTCTAGGGTTATTACCTATATATTCTATATGTGATATAGACAAAACATAGGGAGAAATGAACTTAATATCAAAATCTAAATCCCATTAAATCAAGAAGTCCAGATCTAGTGGTCCTTATAGTCTGTATTGTTTAGGGACAGTTTTAGAGTGATTGTAATTATCACTGGAAAAGAACCATAAATTCCTCAGACAATATAAAACCAGTATCACGTGTTAACAACTACAGTTCAGTTTAGAGATTTTCTGGTTTGTAAATTAGTCTCCAAACTGAAGAAAGGTACAGTAGATAATATCATATCAGCTTCTGAATTCAGGAGTAAATGAATGTATCAATGAATTTAAGGCAGTGAAACAGTTTCCACAGTCCAAGAAGATAATGAAGTTACATTAGGAATTGTGATTAATTTAGAATCAGTATATGGAGGATTCAAAACTAATTCAGACCAGTAATGACAGAGGATCAAAAGTCTATGCTTAGATGTCGGGTTTGACGTCAAAGAACTTGGGCATAATGTGGCAAAAAATGGAATGTTTTTCTCAGAAATGTGTGTTTTAAAGTGAGCTTGGCTCAATCCTACTCCTAGCAGGCAAATATTTGCTTACCAATGTGGCCTTGAGATTGGTCTGCATGAAATCCTAAACTCAAACTCTGGCTTCACTGTCACTTCTGCAATAATGACACTAAATGAACATTCCCATGCTTTCTGCAGCTTTAATGGATGAGGAAGATGGAAAGAATTGTTTCAATTGTGAATTTCCAGTTCAACTGTTGCATGGGCTTTAGTATAACTGCCTATTTTTCAGTACTTACAGTCAAACTCCAAAAGGCTTTGCCTGGTTATTTTTTATTTTAAAAAAGAAAAAAAAAAAAAGATTAAAAAAATGCTCAGTGTCAAGAACTCCATTTCAAACTGTGTAGAGAATCAGGCTGAAAACACAATCTTTTTTAGAGGTGAACCTTGCTGCTCTCTAGATCTCTTTTTTTCTTTGAGTGCCTGCCAATATGTTTCCTTTCCCATCTTTGTTTTCTTTACATCCCCAAAGGTAAAAAATTCTTTCTAGTTTCTTTTCAAGCATTCTTCTTACATACCGTTTGAAAACCTGTTTCTTTTTCCTTCCATCCTATTTTTTTTTTTTTTCTGGTAGAATGGCCTTTCCATCACAATATTCCTATAATTATAATACTTGTAAAAATACATATTATTTTTATGAAAATACATATTATTATTATGAAAAGAAAAAAAAAAAAAAAAACAACAAACCACTTTGGATTGCATCGCTCCTGGAAAACATTTAGAAAATTTTAAATTCTGCATGTTGATGAAACCTAAAATGAAAGTAATTTTTTCCTTGTGATGGTATTACTGTTTACAAACAATACTGTTAAAATGTTAATTGAGTTTAAGGAAAACTGTTTGTTTCAGGGTTATTTGAAATACTAATAGGACAAAATTATACCTTTCTAACACTGAAGTCTTTGTTTTTTAATTTATATTTAAATAAAAATTACTTTTTCCATTTTGCATGTTTTGATGCAAAGGTTACCGAGGATAACAAAATAAATTTCAGTTTCTCCATTAGCTACCAAATAGCTTATAGTAGAAATGATCTGCATATTTGTGAAGGATTATGCTTCTAAGAAATAATTGTTGAAAATTGTTTTTTTTAAAATTGATAATTTTTCTTAACATACTTTTCTGGAGAAAAAAACCAAACCTGAATTCTCTGTTCGTGGGGAGTTTTAAAATATGTTTTTTCTTGTGTAAACTTTATCATTTTTTGTTTTCTTTTCTTTTCCTTTCTTTTTTTTAGGTTTTACACCCCCTGGGATGGATAGGTCATCTCCAGACAACAGTCCAGTCCATGGCCTGTTACGCCAACCATCCATTACAACAGGAGCCAACATCCCTATTATAACAGAGCTAGGTAAGAAAAGTTACCATTTATCCTTTCATGTACGTTCCCATATCTTCTTGTAACATCCCTTGTTATGCAGTCTCAGGAAAATTACCTATACTGTATCATACACTGCTATGTTTTCTCTTCTGATAACTGTTTTGAATTACTTTCTCTAAAGAAAGATTAGTAACAGTTGTTTCACTTTATTTGAATAACTGAAATATATTTACCTCGCCCCTTTGGGTTTTCTCCATTTTCTTAAATAAACACTCTATCAGGCAAGATGCTTTTTACATAGTGTAACAAATAAGCAGGGGTCTTTGGGCTAAGGTTAGAAAATCAAAAAACCACACTAAGTATGAGCAGACATTTCCTGTGCATTTAATCAATAGTAAGAGGCCATTTGTTTATTTCTTCATGGTCCAGAACTGTTTAATCATGTGTAACAAAACTCTGTATAATAGTATGAGACATTTTACTCCTGAGAATACGATGATGGTAGGTAACCAGGCTCTGATTTCCACTCTAGCTGTGGGTATTTATGTTGTCAAGTGGTGTGATGTGAAGTGCAGAAGCTGTTCTGTTTTTTTCATGGCAAATACAAACTTGATTTGTGGTCCTTTGTCCTTTTATTTTCCCTTTCAGTTTTATTTTTTAGAGCCTTACCTGTCTTTTTCCCTTACTTTATTCTCTTTCTGTACTTTCTTTTCCCCCTAAATACTTTACTTATTAGCTAAGCCTGGCAAACTTCTGCCTTTGGTTTCAATCAGTCAGGAAAAAAACAGTGGAACCCACATTCTAATGATAACTGAACTGGGTAAGAAGTGCCTTTTTCCTTCACATCACTGTCTTATTTTCTGTTGTTGTTGTTCCTACTGTCATCAGCTTTTTCTTTATTTATCTGGCTGTATCAGAGGGGCTACCCTCATGGCACTGCTTTGAATGTGTTTTATTTGTGGTTCTGGTTGAAATTGACTGTCTCGTTCTGGCCTTTCTTAATGATTTTTTTTTTTCACGCAGCATCAGTAAACCTTTGATCACACTCGTCTGACCTGCCGGCTGTTTTCATAGCACCTTCTCACCAATTCATTTTCTTTGGCCTGGGTCCCCACCTCCCGGGCCCTCCCTCCCCCCCACCAGTTTTTCTCTCCTTTTCTCTCTCTCTTTCCCCTTTTTTTTTTTTTTTTTTTTTTTTTTTTTTTTTTTTTTTTTCTTTTTTTTAATTTTGGGGGAATGCCTTTGG